AAAGAACAGTTTTCGAGGTTTTCGACTTAAAGAGGTTCTACTTTATATCCATATTAAATTGGAATTTAAGGATTTAGATTACAAAATATGTCACAAACATGTCCAGTAAATATACATAATGCTAAGACGCTTTTACTTTTGAATAAAAGTAATTTCATATGTGTTTGTGACATTTACAAGACAAATCCAATTGTATTGGCTTTCGATTATTTACGACATCCACTGTCGTATTATCAAGACAATATCATTGCCCTTTTGTTTATGACAGAACGTCAATTTCTAGTAAATATTAATCTGTGGCACAAGTCCATTTATTTCACGTTTACTTTTCTTTGCCTGAAATGCGTTTGATTGTATCTTCAAAAAAAATATCATGCTGAGTACCTAGTCATCCTTATTTTTTATTTATTATTGATTTATGAAAGTGTCAGTTAATCGCGACACGGGCGTGTTGAAAATTTCATAATCACATGTATACATTAATACATAATAATTATATATTATAAAGTTTCTATGTAATAGAACAAAATCGAACCATAAAAGGTGGTTGTCTGTTTGCCTGTTTCTACACAGTTCACGTTAGTGTTCGAAGCGACTGAATCCATTTTGATGTGAACCAGGGATTCACCTGTCGAGGAATAAGAATAATTTATCGTAATACTTTATTAAATTGTAACTAATACAAACTGGTCCATCAGTCAAAGAGAGAATTGTTGTATGAGTAAATTAAGAATTACGGAGAGAAATCATCATTCATTAAATATACAAATAACAGAAAACATGATTTTAATGTTAATACAAGTAGTAAGATTTTACATTATGCAGAAAAAGGTAAATAAATTCTATTTTGTATATTAGAATCTATAAAAATTAAAGAACAAGTTAAACTAAATGGAATTTAGTCTTAAATGAAATAGTATACAAATGCATACTTATGTCAATTTTCAAATTTTTACATAGCACGGTTTCTACGAAAGACAGGTTAGTGATTCTATAGAAGGATCCGTTTTCCTACTAAAAAGTAACACTATGCATATACATATATACCTATACACACATAGGTAATGACTACCTACTTGTATGTATATGATCTTAGACCCTTATTGATTTTTTATTCAACTTTCATTTGCGATTAGATTAGCCCTGAACTTTGAAGCTCTAGAAATTCCACCCCCATAATACAGCGTAATCTCGAGGGTGCCATCCTGTGAATACTATACGTATATGAATGTGTTAAAATGTTACAATGCTTCTAAGAAGTATTTCATTAGGGTTGTATTGTGGGTGGAAATAATGCTTCTTTTGGTACGATGGGTGAAGTTTTGTCAGTTGTTTACTGAAACGAATGAAAGGGGTTGTCGCTGCGGTAATTAAAAGTTTAGTAGTACATCCAGGAAATCTATTATAATGATATCGATTTGTAAATAATCCTCAAAAATTATCACCCATATCCATTTAGTTAAAAATTGGAGTAAAAGAGAGAAAAATTGTGTTGGAGAAGATTAAATCATGGTAATAAATGAATAACGAGTGAAAATATGTGAATGAAAAGATGGATGATAAAAAGGAAATTAAAAGTATGGAAAAATATTGAACGAAAAAATGTGAATTAATAAAAGAAAAATATATTAAACACACAACGGACAGAACGTTGGTGAATTATTAATAAAATTGTTTCATTAAAAAACAATTTTGCCTACTTGAAATCTGGCTTTAGTAACCCCGAAGCCATTGATGCAGAAAAATTGATTATATAAGTGCTTGTTAAAATAGAAATATGTATATTTTCCGTAAAGCGTTTTTCTTATCAAGCTTTCATACATAAACAATTCAACACGTGGGTGTTTATAATTCATTGTTTACCAACTTTCCAGCCTACGACGAGCTTTAATCGCCATCTGCTTAGCAACATAATCGCGAAAATTCCAATAAATCTACGTATATTGGATAATTTGATATTTACATATACTTACGTTTATTAGATAATATTCGTCAATTTTAACTATAATAATAATTAATATGTATCCCACTATTACTGTTTAGTTTCGAATATTTTTGTAAAAGAATATCTTCAAAAATTAATTATAAAAATGATAAAAAAAGAAAACAAAAATTCACAAGTGAAATATTTAGTTCTTGGTACTACAAACAAAATTATGATAATGAGTTGAGTCCGAAACATTTGTTTTCAAATAATATTATTTTCTCTCTCCTGTTTTTATCGCCCTATTTCATCCATCAAGTATTAGTAATATGCAATGTCCAACTTCAAACTTCTTTCGTTAAAGAAAATGATCGATTAATTACAGGGAGCCGGTCAGTAGGTGTATGAGTTATAATCCAAAACGACCAAGCCCAAGTATACCTCCGAAAAATGTAACGATGAACTAAGCAAAACCAATTGGTCTTGGTTTTACTTATTCGGTCTTGACCTTGGTCTTACTAAAATATTTCTAGTGTTGGTCTTGGTCGTGCTCTTGTCGATACAGTGACAGTCTTCGTCTTCCTGATATAGTCTCGATTTTGCTCTTGGTCATAAGTCTTAGTCCTGCTCTTGTTGATACAGTGATGGTCTTTGTCTTGCTGATTTTGGTCTTGGTCACCCTAGACAAAAACTTTCAGTCTCTCTCCAGTCTTTCAGTCTTTCAGCGTCTCTGAGAGCGTCTCTCACAGTCTTTCACAGTCTCTTAGTTATTGCCTGTTTTTATGGATCTCTCACAGTCTCTGTATGAGAGACTCGAAAGATAAAATTGTTAATTCAGAGATTCAAGTCTCTCACAGAGAGACTGAATGAATAAAACTGAAAAATTGAGATACTCGAGTCTCTCGTAGAAAGACTGGGATTTCTGAAATATATTGAACTTAGAAAATTTTAATCATGTCTATCGAGATACCACTTATTGAGAGATTCGAGTCTCTCGTTCAGAGATTGGATACAAAATGAGGATCTCTCTATGAGCGACTAGAGTCTCCCGTTCAGAGACGCTAAACAGTTTTTTTGACAGTCGCTCGCTTTCAGAGACTTTGAGAGAGTGAACATTTTTATCTCGGGCATACGTGTTAAATCTTGGTCCTGCTCGTGTTGATACAGTGACGGTCTTCGTCTTACTGACATAGTCCCAATTTTGGTCTTGGTCAAACGTGTTAAGTCTTGGTCCTGCTTTTGTTGATACAGTGATGGTGTTAGTCTTGCTGATATAGTCTCGGTTTTGGTCTTGGTCATACGGATTAAGTCTTGGTCGTGCTCATTTAATCTGATTCGTTTTTTTTAATAATTCTTCTTAGCACAAATTTTCATACGTGCGAGCTTGTCATGACTTTTGAAGAAAATAATGTCGATAGTTGTGAGTGGAAAATAGTACAAAGTAACTTAAAGAAGTAAAAAATATCTAGCAAAAATTAGTTTGTCTCTATATTTTAATCAGACAAAGGACAAAGAACCCTTACTCCGAGGACAATGTTGTAGATCTCTTTTCACAAAAGTTTCATTTTTTATACATTTAGTGTTAAAATCTAGTAAAGCAAACTAAAAATTTTCAAATAGTAAAAATGTTTTTGTTTCAAGAAAAGAATGTATTAAAGTTGTTTCAAATAGTTTAACTTGTAAATCTACCGGAAGTATTGGTCTTGATATTTGTCTTTCATTTTAGCAAGACTAAGACCGATTGTGCTCACCACTATATAGAAAGAAATAACTCAGTTTTTATAAATAGTTTTTACAGTGTATATTTCATTCAGTACTGATGGAGGTACTTTAACGTAGAAATTGACACTTCATTGTATATATGTTCTGTTACACTTCGAACTTTTATAATTTAGATCATCCGCTCCAAAACTTTGTAGATAAGAACGTAACATGAAAAGAACCCGGAACGGTCTGAAATAGAGGAATTAACGATGTTACAAATGTATTATGGCAGACAGTACGCTCATTACCCTGTCATTACAGTGCTCCTTTATTATTTTATCGACTTTTTATTACTTTCAGTACCCTCTTACGCATAATAAATCAGAAAGTGTAAAAGTTGGTACATTTACATACTCGTAATTTTAATAACAAATTAAGTAATAAAAGCCAACGGATTATTTCACCAGAATATTAAAAAACTCAAGAATTGCTTTGATCTTAGACCATTTTCAGTAGTACAACTGTCTGGTTTTCAGTATATTGGTGAAATAATCCATCAGATAGAAATCCTTTCCTACAAGGATAAGAAGATCCGGAAATCTTTCAATCTAAAAAATAATACCAGATTTCGGTAGACTTTGAGAAGTAAACTTTTATTCAGGGTTTAGTGATTTACATCTTGTAATTTGCGATAACGATAGTTTATGTGTTTAAATCTTAACATTCTTTTTAAATATCGTCCTTCTCAAAACTTGAAGATTCTTATCTCACCTGGTGAGAAACGGAGCCAGCGATTTAGTACGTAAATTATATTCACGAAACTAAACACTTAAATATCATCTTATCATGAACATAAGTAATCCTACAAGACGTAAATCTTTTCAAATCTGCTGACTTTATTTGTACCATATTCCTTATTAAGGAACAATTTCCTTCGCTACTCCTACATTAAAGTCATCCATACTGTCATTATGTTATAGCTTTTATTTAGTTCTCTTTATTTATCTATCTTCTATTTTCTTTAATGTTAAAAAATTTCAAAGAGGATTAAATTAAATTAATTTTATTTGTAAGGAGTTCCTTTTAAGCTTCAATGAGAAATCAGGATATATACATACGTATAGGCATATAACCTTTTTATTAACTAATTTCATAAAAAGTTAAATAATTAAATACCACTTAAAGCTTATACTTTCCAATGAACAGATATGCGTTATCACTTAATAAAACGTTACAAAAAAAACTTCTGCCAATTTTGATGGACTAAAGGTATTATCTGGCAACGTCACGGAAACTGTGACGATTATTTGTGAATACAGAAACGTGTTTTCGGGAATCATCAATGACCATATGTTTACTATTTTGGACTTACCTTCCCGGCAATAATTCGACGCACGCGTGAGTTGACAGCGTCCCTTGTTGTGATGCACACAGCAGAAAGCACGAACGTTAAATGAGGCGCCGCGACGCAGTCGTCGATACCAAATTCCTACACGACCTACTTCCACTCCATCTCATGGACTAGGAACCAAGCACAATACCTACATATACCTTCGTATACAGGGTGAATCTTACATTAAACATCCTTATCCTTATTTCTTTAATAGGAAAAATCAACTGATGACCTTGAATGTAATCTTCACCTTTGTCATCTAACAAAATAATTCGAAGTGGTCTCTGTTCCGTCGAAACTGCCAGACGCGGATCGCGATTTCGATCTTTTTGGATCTCATCAGCGCGTCACAGGCAGCTCCCACAGAACACAGACCAACCTGACCTGCTGTCTTAACAGCGCGTTTTAGAAAATACTACAAATGGCGTGGTGAGCGCCATCTGTAGTACGATGCTACATTTGAGGATTACATATGCTCCAACAAGGTCCATTTAAAAATATGGATATCTACTTGCTGAAACGAATACCGGCGTAGCTCACCTCAACGTGATAGGCACGTTACCATAATCGAACAAAATAATTCGAAGTGGTCTGTGTTCCGTCGAAACTGCCAGACGCGGATCGCGATTTCGAACTTTTTGGATCTCATCAGCGCGTCGCAGGCAGCTCCAACAGAACACAGACAACCTTACCTGCTGTCTTAACAGCGCGTTTTAGAAAATACTACAAATGGCGTGGTGTCATCTAGTTCATTTAAACGTCGGCATTTTTTAATTAAAACTAATTAATTGCACTTCCGATTACAAAATTAGTTGCTCTTTTTTTTTTAAGGTCAAAAATACGTAACTAAAGAATGTTGTTGAAGGTTCTATCTGAATACTTCCTTGTTTCAATATAAAAAACTCACCCTATGTATATAAGGAAATTCTGAACGCTCAACAACACATTTTGTCCACTAGTTTTCGCCCGACAAAATACCGGAAGTTAAACTCAAACCCCTTGGCATTTGATATAATACACACAAGAAGTAAATAAAGGAAATAGCTCATCACGTCCTCAAAGGTATAAAGGAAGAATCAGGAAGATATCCAATTTTCTCTGAATTTCCTAAAATGTTAAGTTTAGAATTTTATATTGTACATATTGCCAAGAACTACAAAAAACACAAACAAATGTTTTTAAATTTTCTTCGACTTACAATTTGGGGGGGGGGCATAAGGACATAGTTTTGATGCCTTTTTGGTACCTACAACAAATACTAAAAATTGTTAGATATGCAATAAAATACTTGGAAGCATCTTTTAAAATAAAGAATTGAAAATGATTAAGAATCCTGTTATTGGAGCAGTTTTATTTATTTGAGAATCAATTCAGTAGACATTTCAACAATATATTTTATTAATTACTCGACAATTGTTTCAACTAATAAGTCATTTTCAAGGGTACATTCATTAACAATACTGCAGGTATGTATTTTTTAATAAAATATATTGTTGAAACATCTACTGTTTTGATTCTCAAATATTGAACACGTTTCATCACACCACCATAGTTAGTTTTAAGAGTTTAATTTAGTTTGCTTCACTCGCTGCATCGCCACTATACCCTGTGAATAGAGTAAATTTCCCAGTGTAGGTGAAAATGTTCTCAGTTTCCTTTATGTAAGTGCTAAGTGGAATCTACGATGCATTTCGGATGGGTCGTATTACCAAGTGAATTTAATATTGCACTACTGTAAGATCTACCTACATTCAAGATACTTTCTTTGCCTGATATAGACGATTAGAAAACAAAGGTTTCCATTTATCTTCTCAAGACGATTTAAAAAAAAAAATAAGAATCAGTTATTTTATTTTAGGAATTAAGTGATAAATATTAGATTGCATTCTCCTAAAGTATAGTATTATTATTATACCTATTATTACATACCTCTGCATACTTTGAAAATATTCATACTTTTAGAAAATACTACAAATGGCGCAGTAAACACCATCTGTAGCACGATACTACATTTTAGGATTACGTATGCTCCAACAAGGTCCACTTGTGTGGATATCTACTTGCTGAAAACGAATCCCGGCGTGATAGGCACGTTAGCTTACTACGCCATTTGTAGTATTTTCTAAAACGCACTGTTAAGACAACAGGTAAAAGCTGGTCTGCCTGCAACGCGCTGATGAGATCCAAAAAGATCGAAATCGCGATCCGCGTCTGGCAGTTTCGACAGAATACAGACCCCTTCGAATTATTTTATTCATACTTTATTTAAGTAAGTACATTTTTCATAGGGCCATCAGTCTTAAGATTCGTTTGGACACGCACCTCTTCTGTTTCCTGTCCTGAGGGTTAATCTTCGCATTTCCTTAAAACTAGAACATATTCTACATCCTTAACTAGTTTGGTATAGAAAACCTATCAAAAAGTCAAATAAGTCTGTAAAAATTATTATAATAATTCAAAATTCCAGCGTGAAGAAAAGTTGGACTATGCAGCACGTTTCCTTCGAAACCACCGACACTAATCCACTCGCGGCTGAAAATCAGTATCAAGAAAAGCTTGTGCTCGCTGCAAATGATAAGGACGAAGCAATTGTTGCTTTAAAAATTTACTACACTGTCACATGAGAAGAGCCAATGTTCCCTGTCATTTCGCGTGTACCATTTTAGGGATTATGTTCGTTGAAATCAAGGATTTTGTCCCCACAGTTTCGATATGGTTATAAACTGTAGAATAATTTCTCCCACACCATTAGTGTATATTATGCAAACAATGGTTTCTGATGACGAACGCAGGTTGACACAGATTTATCATCATTTCGAATGAATTAATACAAATGTAGCCATCCAACGTTTTGTTTATTGGTGTATTTATTACAAAATGTATGGGTAGGTATAATAATAAAGGATTGTATTTGAACACATCATACTTACAATATCTAATACTAAAACACGTTAAAGACGATTTTTTATGTTACTTTACGCTACCTCGGCAACGATTTCAGACCAAAAAGTTGAGTAGTCCCGAAGAACAGTTCCCCTGGAAAAATATACAGGTTCTGGTTAAGCAAATCTCAGACTTCATTTACAGTTTTTTAGCGCTTTGCTATGAGTTGAATGATTGCAAGTTTCCACACTGAGTATAATAAAAGAACTAATAAACATACTGATTTTTGTATGTTACATAGTAACATGGTAACCGTAAATTCTTATCTAGATCACTGGTACGAAATTGGAACATCTAAATTGTTTATTTAATACTGCAAGCTAACACCTATTTATCTACCGTGTTAGTAGGTCAATTAACAACCGTTTTTATAATTATAATCAGAAATAGTGAAGTCAAGAAGTTGAGAGTCGCGAGTCGAATTCAAGATTAGGAGATGCAGGGTGGTGAAGCGGCTTACCGTCTTCACTCACCCTGTGATAGTTCCCTGCCATTTCTATGTTCCCCAATTACCCAATAAGGAAGGCTAAGATTATTATTATTATACTATTAAGTTATTAATTAATTATAGTTAAATTATTAGCTAGTCATTCTAAATTGTATAATCCAGTTTCGATATTATATTAAAGTAGTTATATCTCATTTATAAAATTTGCTGTTGTATAACATGGTGGAGTAGTTATATTGCTAAATATATAATAAAATTCGTTTTAATTTGACAGTGGTATATAATTAAAACTATATTAATTAGTGTCATCCGCTTTTATAGAGTTCTTTTTGTTTATCCTTCGAAGTTATTTCCTTTAGTCGAAGTTTATTCGATTTTGTTTATTAATAAAGCTTTCCACAAAAGAATGGAAGCTTTATTAGGTGCCTACTCATGAAAAGTGTAAAAGGAAGAACGAAATAATGGATTCAGGAACAAGTTTGTTTTACGTACGTGAAGTAAACCTGTCCGGAACCAGCATTTTTCGGAGCTTGCCACAGAAGGGTTGCCTGCTGCTTTAGTTTGGGGTCAGCGTGGGTTATTGAACTACATTCTGGGTGACGCTTCGCGTTTGGAGTTTCGATCCAGTCTCCGATCCACTCGTTTGTCCTGGCATCTCTAGCCTGGATGAAGAAGCCCTTAAAGTACTCTCGACCCGCGATTGTTACTAGAAATAATTGAAAAGTTTTCACCAAACTCGCCTCATCATCCCCAACATTCTGAAACTTTTAGGCCTACATTACGTAAATTCTAACTCGAAGAAAAGTTGATTTTGAGAATAAAGTTTCTTTATATATTATTTAGAATGCGACTTTATCAAAAATTCCACCCTAACTGTTTTTCTTTATAACGATAATAAAAAAAAAAATCATTTTTATCAAGGTTACCCAGTTGTAAGTGTAGTTTACAGAACGGAAGCTTTTAGTTATATATTTTACTTTTTACCTGAATTTTTTTTAAGAAAGGTAAATTTAAGTTTCATTCAAAATAATTAGTATCTACCTACTTGTACCTTTTAATGAAAAAAATTAAACGATACAAAAATAAAATTAATATAATTAACATAGAAGTATCGTTATTTTTTGCATGTTATTTTGTTATTATGAAGTAATTGCGACAGGCGATTGTTATTAATAGAAATATATAATTGAGAAATCTTCATCAACCTTAGCTAATCATTGCCAACATTCTAAAACATGTAACTTATTGTAGCGAGCACGAGTGTGTTTGTATGCGATCGGGCACAC